GAGCAGCGTTGTATATTGTGCGCGTAGTTGGAAGCAGTGTTTTGCAGGCCGTACTCGGAGAGCCGGAGACCCGTCGCGGGGGCTGGTCATCGATGAACGGAGCGCCCTTCAGGAGTAGACATGACCACGAGATCCGTACCGAGTCGTGCAGGACGACTAGCCCGAGCTGGTCGGGTAGATCTGTTGTGGGTAGTGGTTACCTGCTCGGTAGGTTGATTTTGAATTGAATCTACTAGAGCTAGGGTTTCAGCAAGCTTGGTGCCGACCCGATCGATGGAGTCGAGCAGGTCAGTGTTGTCGATCTGCCTCCCTTTGTAGCGAGGAAGCAGACGATGGGTTATCGGCATGGCTGAAGATGATGTTGGTGTGGTCAGAGCCAGATCCAACGTGGTTGGAGCCATAGCTGATGCTGGTGAAGCAGTGGTCGACGCAGATTGAATCCACGCCTTCTCCGTGGTCATGGCGATGAAGTTGTCGGAGCCAGTGGTCCAGGTGATCTGGCCGATGGTGAACGTGAGGCCGTTCGGCGTAGCCATGGAACCGGGGATGATGACCATCTTGTTCGTCTGGAGAGCAGTACGCACACCCCCTACTTGGCGCGCCACTGTCGATGAAATATGATCGGCAGTCTACCTAGGGGTATGCCCAAGGTAGTAGATTATCGGCAGACAGATGCGCAAGCTACAAACAAGATGGTGACGCAAGATCGACACGAGGTTTTATCCAGGTTCGGCCGCCGTGAAGGCGTAATACCTACGTCTTGCGTCTGATTGTATTGCTATATGTCAATGAGAGATGTTTTGAGAGGGGTCCCCTGCCCGCCTTATATAGTCTAGAGAGCAGGGTTACATATCCGGAAACTAATCCTAACCAGTTACAATTACCATAGGTGGCCGGATAAGGATTCCTATTCTAACCGACTAGGATCTTGCTTGATCTTCAAGTCTGCCTTGATTCCTTGCGCGAGATTCCAAGCAGATTGGCCAGGCCACGCGTCGTCTTCTAGTGGGCCAGACCCCCTGGTCCGGGCCGGCCCAATCCTAGCCGTAAAGGTATAGGGGTTAATACCCCCACAAAGTGTAAATCAATCTCCACATGCTTGGTCCGCTGGTGCTGAACGGAGTTGGTGGACAGATAAACGGCACTGACATTGTCACAGTATACAACGATGGCTCGTCGAAGAGGGCAATGGAGCTCATGGAGGAGATGATGCAACCAACACGCCTCCACAACTCCATTTGCGACAGCGTGATACTCGGCCTCTACACTGGATCTAGAGACTATCGCCTGACGCTTGAAAGACCAGGAAATCAAATTATCACCCAAAAATACACCGTAGCCAGAAGTGGGACGGCGAGTATCAGGACAACCGGCCCAATCAGCATCAGTGTACACAGTGAGATCAGCAATCGAGGTGCGAAGGAGGTGAAAACCAAGGTCTGGGGTACCCTGAATGTAGCGTAGAATGCGCTTCATGGCGGTGAGGTGTGGCTCTCTCGGATCATGCATATAACGACAGACCTGCTGAACGGCGTAGGCGAGATCAGGGCACGTGAAGGTGAGGTACTGAAGCGCGCCAGCAATGCTGCGAAAATGTGTCAGATCAGCCACTGGGACACCATCAGCAAACATCTTGGCGTGAGTATCGATAGGTGTACTGCAAGGCTTGCAGTCACGCATACCAGCACGGTCCAGAATATCCAGCATATACTGTCTCTGAGAGAGGAATAAACCATCAACTCGACGATCAACAGAGAGACCCAAGAAGTGATGAAGAGGACCCATATCTGTCATAGAGAATTCCCGCTGGAGAGCTGCAATAACCTGCTAGAGGAAACTCGGTGACGAGGCATTGAGAACAATATCGTCCACATAGAGAAGCAAAAAAGTTGTGTCAGCACCGCGGCGGTAGATGAACAGAGAGGTGTCTACCTTGGCCTCAACAAACCCGAGAGAGGTGATGTGTCGGGCAAAGCGACTGTGCCACGCGCGAGGTGCCTGCTTCAGTCCATACAGTGATCTGTTCAACTTGCACACATAGCTGGGGCGGGAGGAGTCAACAAATTCAGACGGCTGCTCACAGTAAACGGTCTCAGTCAATGTCCCATGGAGGAAAGCATTCTTGACGTCCAACTGGTGAATCGGCCAAGAGCGAGACATATCCAATGTAAGAACAACGCGGACTGTGGCCGGCTAGACGACTGGACTGAAAGTCTCCTCATAATCAATCCTCGGGCGCTGAGTGAAACCTCGAAGCACCCACCTAGCCTTGTAACGATCAAGAGAGCCATCAGCCAAAAACTTGTGACGATAAACTCATTTACCGGTGACGACGTTAACACCGGGCGGACGGGCAACCAAAGTCCAGGTGTTGTTGGCCAAGAGTGCATCAAACTCGGCCTGCATCGCTGCTCGTCAGTTGGGATCAGCTAAGGTGGAGCGAAAGGTCTTCGGCAGGGGTGAGAGGGGCACCGTGTGAAGGTTCAGGCGATCCACTGGCTGAATAAAACCAGACTTGCCTCGAGTCCGCATGCTGTGATCGTTCACCACAGGCACGATGGACTGAGGTTGTGTAGCAGCAGTGCGGCCAGCTCTACTGGCAGCAGCCTGGGATTGAACGTCCACAGGGGCAGCAGAGCCGGACGCCGAGGGAGCGCCAGCAGGACCCGAGCCAGAGCCTAGTTCGATGGCGGGTGACGTGTTGGGCGTAGCAGCAGCAGTACCGCCTAAGCCAGAGGGCGGCGAGCTGGGCGCCGGCGAGTGGGCACCAGACGCCCCAGGTGCTGATGCGGGGGCACCGGGCACGGGTGACTGAGGTGCGGCGGGAGCGCCGGGAGAAGTACCTGCAACCACAGCACTTGGCCCGATGGGCATAGTGGAAATATCATCATCGTTCAAAAAATCCAAAGCGGTGGGATCCGAGGGTGAGGTCGACATCTCAGAAAAGGGGAACATGGACTCATCAAAAACTACATGACGGGAGATGATGATCCTGTTGGAATGGAGGTCGGGACATCGATAACCCTTGTGATCAGAAGAGTAACCAAGGAACACACACAAGGAGGAACGAGGTACCGAAAAGCGAAACAAACGATTATTGCCTTGCCATGAGTTACGACATCGCATCACCCTGCAAATTCTTTTAGCACAAAAAACGTTTATCAGAAATTCAGAAGAAACCAAACACCGAGGAAATTGGCGAATCTGAATACATACATAGGCCTTGTTTATATTGCAAATTTTTGCAATCGGGACACTGTAGCACGTTTCGTTTGTATTTGATAAACTTTGTCCGATCATGGACTAATTAGGCTCAAAAGATTCGTCTCGTGATTTACAACCAAACTGTGCAATTAGTTATTTTTTTTACCTACATTTAATGCTCCATGCATGCGTCCAAAAATTGATGTGATGGAGAGAGATTGAAAAAACTTGGAATTTTGAGGCAATCTAAACAAGGCCATAGATACCATGTCTCACAATCTGAATATACTGTCTATATTTACCTGGCACCCTTGTTCTTGCTGTTTTCTTCATTCTTCCAAGATTTGCGTTGCTCTTTTCACGAACGAGCACGTATTTCCAATTTTGCGTACGTGTGTTTCATTTCTGTTTGTTTGTGCTGATATTCAATGCCCCAACTGCTAGCAAGATCAGATAAGACTGTCTACCCTCCCATCTCACTGGAATGCTCGTCATTGCATTTTTTTAAAAACAAATCATCACTTCATATATTGCGTCGGGTATCCTACAGCCATTTCTTGTTGGCGATGGCCCCCCTTGTGCCAGCTAAACTCACGTGGAGATGGGAGGACGTCGATGTCGCGGTGCCCAACTTATGAGCCACCTGTTGCTGTGTTGCCGTTTTCAGTTCAGATCCCCCGCACAGACTGCCTGTGGCTTTGTTTTGCCAGTCGCGACTGAACCTGCACCGTCGACGTCGAGCCCCTGTTGCCGTTGCCGATGGATCGCCCTCGAACGACCCGAGCGATTGATCGATAAAAAGTCGGTGATTTGGACTGAAACCGTCGCCGTCGGCCGTCCTAATTTGGATTTGGCTGTCATTATAAGCCGATTTATTAGTTATGATATTTTATTTTTCTTTTCTAATAAATTAATCATATAAATCAACACAAACGGTTTATGCATGTCATCGCGTCTAGTTGAAAGCAATCGTGCCCAACAGCCCCATGCCAGCAAAGCGAACACATCATGCCGTAGAATTAAACTGGAGCAACTGTCGAGATAATCCTATCCGGACTACTGCTGTGACGTGCGTGCGCTAGTTGTGGCCGATTTGCCTGACTGCCCTGAGGCCTGCCTCTTTCTTGCCATGCACAAGCCAACTGTGAGAGAAAGCGACCACGTCATGGGAGGAGGACGTCACCGCAGGCTCCACTCCAGATCAGCTTTGATTCTCGCAACCACAAACAGCCCCCAAACAAACCATGCACACTTGAGTGCAGCGTGCGCGCAGAGCGCTTCCGGAACTGCAATTTCCCCCCTCGGTGCAGTGCAGGCCGCAGGCGCAAAGCGTGTTTGGACAAGAGAAAGCAAGCGGATCCACGGCTTTCCATGGCAAGCAATACCAACGGAGACAGACATACCTGAAACCGGCAACTGCGCGTAATACGCCCCAAGCCCCATTTTTCTCTCTCGCAGAAAAGAAAGGGGGACCAAAAAAATTGACGATCGAGACAAATCGTGGCTTCTCCGGCGAATTTGGGCGAGTCACCGAAGCCTGCGGGTCCTCACGTCGCCGAGCCCACCTCGCCACCTCGGGAGGCTTTTACCCGTGTACCCTTAAAAAAGATGCCACACTTTTGCGTACCTCTCAAAAGTTGATCGTCAACTACATGCCCTCGCTCGAACTTTTCTTTTCTCTCACGCCATTCCATCGGCATTTGCTCTGAGTAACGGCTCTGGAGAATGACTCAGTTGCCCTTAGGCTTGTATGGGCGTCCAAATTTTTTCGTTTTCCCTGTGCCATTTGGCGCCAAATGACACGGTTTGACACCGCCCCATCCTCTAACCCACGGCAGCAAGCTCGTGCGGACCACACCTCTCCTGTCGATCCACGACGACGATGCAGCAGCTCCGTCACAGCCAGCCGAGCCCGTGTCTCCGCGGCTCGCGCTTCGCGGGCGCGGGGCGGGTGGCACGCCCGATGCTCGGTCCCGGCGCGGCAGCAGCTCGCCGTTCGCAGCCGGGAACCCTGCAACCGAGCGCCTGCCACGCCGCGGCCGCGTCGGGCCAGCCCCGTCCCCGTGCCGTTGCCGACTCGGCGCTGGGAGCCTCGTCGACGAGCGTGCAGGTCGGAGGCAAGCTGCTGCTGCAGAACTTCGCCGACGCTTCCGCCGCTGGGCGGGCACTTCAGCTCGCTCGCGGATGTCTACCGTCTCTTCGGCCTCGACGACGTTGGCCGGCTCCGGGAGGCCAAGGGGGTCATCAACAGCGGAACACCGTTCCCCGTCGTGCCCCAGGTCATCTCAGGTCCTTACTGCGATCGATCATCGTTTGCAACGATGCATGGTGTCATCGCGAATGTGCTCAAAGGGAAGGAAAAAAAATTGTTTGTTCGTCTGGTGCAGTGAACGGTGAACCCGACACACTGGCGGAAGGACGAGGAGTTCGCGCGGCAGATGATCGCCGGGGCGAACCCGGTGTGCATCAAGCGCGTCACAAGGTTCCCGCTGACGAGCGAGCCTGACCGCGGAGTGTTCGGCCACCAGGACAGCAAGATAACCAAGGATCATGTTGAGAAGAACATGGTTGGCATGACGGTGCAGCAGGTATATACACAATGGACAGCAAGATAAGCAGAGACCATGCCTGAAGAGGATAGTGGGTTCATGCGTGTATGTATGACCATGCATGCAGGCCGTGGAGGAGGGGAGGCTGTACGTCGTGGACCACCACGACTGGGTGATGCCATACCTGAAGCGCATCAACGAGCTCCCAGGCGACGAGGAGAAGGCCGAGGTGTCACAAAGGAAGGTGTACGCCGCCAGAACGCTCCTGTTCCTGAACCGCGACGACTCGACGCTCAAACCGCTCGCGATCGAGCTCAGCTCGCCGCACCCGGAGAAGGAGCAGCTTGGCGCGGTCAGCATGGTGTACACTCCACCGGACAGCGGGGACATCACGGTCACGGCCGGGAGGTTCTCGGCATGGGAGCTGGCCAAGGCCCACGCGCGCCGCCGCCAACGACACCGTCGAGAACAACTTCGTCACCCACTGGTAAGTACACTTTCATTCAGGGAGTCTTCTCTCCTACGTGGATCATCCATCGATTCCTACACGGTCCTGGTACAAACAAGACGAGGTCAACATGTGTGTATGTCCGTGGTGTAGGCTCAACACGCACGCATCAATGGAGCCGATCGTGATCGCGGCGAACCGGCAGCTGAGCGTGCTGCACCCGATCCACACTTCCGGAAGACGCTCCACATCAACGCCGTCGCGCGCCAGATCGTCGTCGGCTCGGGTGACCAGAGGAAGGACGGCAGCGTCTTCCGTGGCATACACGAGGTCACCTACTTCCCCAGCAAGTACAACATGGAGATGTCCTCCAAGGCGTACAAGGCCTGGAACTTCACAGAGCTGGCTCTCCCCAATGATCTCATCAAGAGGTAATAACACTACTGTACTGTACTACGTACATAATACAAATGACAGGTATTGATGACATAGCAACAGCATGCCATGTCACTACATGGCTATTCTGAATAATTCTGGTTGGTGCTTCGTTCTACAGAGGACTGGCAAGAGGGGACCCGAAGAAGCCAGAGACACTGGAGCTGATGATAAAGGACTACCCGTACGCGGTGGACGGGCTGGACATGTGGGCGGCGATCAAGAACTGGGTGGCGGACTACTTTGCCATCTACTACCCCAACGACGGCGCGGTGGCGAGGGACAGCGAGCTACAGGGGTGGTGGAGCGAGGTCAGGAATCCCTATCTTTTGGCGCCAACAGCGGCGTCTTAGGCGCCAAAGCCAATTGGCCTGGCAATGGCATAAGGGAAACAAAAAAAAGTTCAGACGCCCATACAAATCCAAGGACAACTGAGTCATTCTCCAAAGCCGTTACCCACCGTTAGAAGCAAATGCCGACGGAATGGTGTGAGAGAAAAGAAAAATTTGAGCGATGGTATATAGGTGACGACCAACTTTTGAGGGGTACATATGAGTGTGACATCTTTTTTAAGGATACACAGATAAAAGCCTCGCGCCCATCTGGCTATCTACACTGCCCTAGTGAACAGTGACCTGTGTCACCTATCCCGCCTCCCAACTGTATTTTAATTCCACATTAAATTCCTCCTTTTCTCCCCTTCTCCATTACGTCAACGAAGTACTCCCTGAAACTTTAGCGAGTCGCTCTTACAATGTCAAATCAGTTTTGCACTGCCCTGCATTGCGTAGACTTCTTCCGTCATGGAATACAAGATGACCTAGGCTGTGTTTATTTCTCCCTCCTAAATTTTAGCTTCGGTCACGTAGAATGTTTGGACACATACATAGAGTATTAAATATAAACTAATTATAAAACTAAATACACAGATTGAGTCCTCGCAAAAAAAATGCACAGATTGAGACTAATTTGCGAGACGAATTTTTTAAGCCTAATTAGTCCATGATTTAACAATATAGAGCTATAGTAAACATGTGCTAATGATGGATTAATTAGTCTTAATAAAATTGTCTCGTGGATTACTGAGCACTTGTGTAATTTGTTTTATTATTACTATCCGAGCACTCGATGTGACACTCTTTATGTGACATCCGATGTGAAATCTCTAAACTTTAGCCTCTGGATTTAAACACCCCCTAATTAATTTTAGGGCAAATTATTGGTGAAACAAACTATACATAATCTTGTGCTTATCATATTTTGAACATGTTAATAGATACTAATGGCAGTTATGTTATGTATGTGAATGGTGTTTTGGAGGAGTTGATTCATTAAGAATATTTATAATTTAGGATAAAATTTGGATGCTTCACTGCCTTATATTTTAGGTCGGATGGAGTATAATTCTAGCTTTATGTTCAGTCCAATTTTCCAAGGTTGTAGAAAAAGTACTAGTATTCATAACATAAAATAGATATGCCATAAAACAAATATTTTGTGATGAATCTAATAACACTTAAATATTGATATTTTTATAAAATTGATCAAATGTAAAATGTTTGATCTGATGTTATGCTAAATTGCATTCTTTTCTGGAGAGGGTAATACAAACTACTAGTATGGGATGTTTCGCTGAATTCCTGTCCATAAAGAATGGAGTTCTAGCACAATATTAAGTTTTACTTACTATATATAAATATATCAATATTTATAGTACCAAATAAATATCACTAGATTTGCCATGAAATATATTTTTATAGTATATTTGTTTAGCATCATAAATGTTATTATTTTTACCTAAATATTCGTTAAATGCTAGATATTTTCTTGACCCATGTAGTAGATTATAGATAGGTTCACATCCTGCCTCCGGGGCTACCTTCATAAGCATACTCAGTTAATCTGTACTTCTTCGCTAATTATTATACACGTAACTGGAAGTTGAAGTTTGTAGTTTGGACAGCTGTACAGCTGCATCAATCAGCTACGGTGGCATACGAGCACTTACACAACTAGAGTAGTGCGCTGTGCATCCTCTATTGCACGACTGTACGTGGATGTGCTTCAAGCCTCTTCATCAAGGAGACACAAAAAATGGCAAAAAGGTTTGGATTACATCAACGCTCAAGCGTCTACCATTCTTGACCAAATTGAAACTAGTGCAACAGATACCAGATCACGTCCTATCAAAAAAAAAACGGATCACGTATTATCAAACAATTTTCTGGTGTGTATGTAAGCACACAACAAATCATTAATTTGACATCGTGCAGCCTTTTTATTTATTTAAGAAAAGAAAAAACTAAAGGGTTTAAGCTGTCAACTGAACAGAACATTAGAGTAGGCAAACATTTATCTGTCCGTTCCAGCAGCATTATCAAAATTCAGACAAATCCATCATGTCACTCCTGCACCTGCTACTTGTTGCACTGGCCCCAGTAATAAACTACCGCTTCAAAGCTGCAGCAGGCCAGCAGCTGAAGCCCTGACCCTACACCGAGTCAAACCTATCGCCTCCTCCGATCGCCATTAACGAGTCAGTTGCTCTGCGCTACCACGCGGCCGAGATGCTGCTGGCAGCAAGCTCACCGCCCCTACAGCCTACAGCGAGCGAGCACGCACGGCAGCTACTAGAAGGATAGCTAGCGCACACCAAACCAAACCCCTTTCAAACTCTTTTAAAGCCCCACCAGCGGGCGCAGCAGGCACCGTCATCACTCCCAGGCTCGACGAGGGCAGAGCTAGAGGGCCTCACCGACGCGATCTCCGGCCTGTCGAGCAGGGGTGTGGCGCGGCCAGGGGCGAGCAGTGGCGGCGCCATGAGCTCGTCGTCGGAGAATGGCGGGAAGAAGAAGAAGGCGGAGGAGGAGGCGGCCAAGGTGCCGTTCCTGAAGCTGTTCTCGTTCGCGGACCGGTGGGACTGCGTGCTGATGGCGGTGGGCTCGCTGGGCGCGTGCGCGCACGGCGCCTCCGTCCCGGTCTTCTTCATCTTCTTCGGCAAGCTCATCAACATCATCGGCCTCGCCTACCTCTTCCCCACCACCGTCTCCGGCCGCGTCGCCAAGGTACGTACCACGTAACTGGATCGTCCAGACGGCGCCGGCACGCGCGCGCATCTAGCTCTCCGGCCGTTTTGGAGAGATCTCGGCGAGCGCTAGCTAGCTAGCTAACTAGCGACGGCGCAACGACATGGGCTGATTTGTTTCGCGTCGCGTGCACACAGTACTCGCTGGACTTCGTGTACCTCGGCATCGTCATACTCTTCTCGTCGTGGACCGGTGCGTGCGTGCAACAAGACACTGCTGCTTCTACTATGCAATGCGGGCAGCGAGCAGCGTGCGTGCGTGCAGATATTAATAAGATGACCATACGCGTCGTGTTGCAGAGGTGGCGTGCTGGATGCACACGGGCGAGCGGCAGGCGGCGAAGATGCGGCTGGCCTACCTGTGCGCGATGCTGGACCAGGACATCGCCGTCTTCGACACGGAGGCGTCCACCGGCGAGGTCATCAACGCCATCACCAGCGACATCCTCGTCGTCCAGGATGCCATCTCCGAGAAGGTACGCCCACGTGACCTTACCTTACCTTGCTACTACCTGCGCGCGTTGCCATTCTCGCCGTGGCGCGCCTCGCTGCCGACCGCCGCGCTCAGCCGCTCAGGCGAGGCGGAAGGGGAAAAGGACGAGAGGAATTAACGCCGGGGCGCCACCACGCGCCAGGCGGCTGGCCGGTGCGCTGATCTGATCGAGGGGCCGGCGCGCAGTTACTAGGGGCTGGGGTTGGTGAGGGGCATTGAAGGCGTGCGCGGGATCGGCACAGCAGCAGTACGCCGCAGGATTCACAGTCCGCAAAGTACATAGGAAGTAGAATAGCTACATGCCGCTTCTCGATCTGTTTGAGATTCATTTCTACGGAACCGATTTAAAATCAACCGGTGGGTGTTCACGTTCACCCCATATGTTTGGGTCTAGAGTATAGAGTTGTCACACGAGGTTGTCATACGAGTTGTCAGGATACTAATAAAATAAATAAATTATAGAATCCGTTAGGAATTCGTGAGACGAATTTATTAAACCTAATTAATTTATTATTAGTACATGTTTACTGTAGCACCACGTTATCAAATCATAGACTAATTAGGCTTAAAAATTTTGTTTCGTAAAACAGTCTCACTCTGTGCATTTAATTTTATATTTAATACTCCATACATATGTTCAAATATCCGATGCAACAACTATTAAAGTCTAGAGGTGAATTAAACACGCCCACAGTAGATAGTAGATGAAGAGAATTGCAGCCGTGGTACCTCAGCGTATGCTTATCGGTTCGTACGTGTTCGCCAGCTAAGACGTGGCAATCGGAGATAGGTGGATCCTGTAAAATCACTAGCATAGTGTTTTTACAGGTACAGTACTACTTTTTTTTCCACGACCGTACGTAAGCATATTTTTTTTGTTAAGAGGAAAAGAACACGTGAAAAGTTTGAAAAGAGAGTTACAACATGCCAAGTATTTGTTTAGAAAGGACGGCAAAATCTTTACATGAGATTTTATTAGATGATAGAACATGCCTAAGTACTTATAAACGTGAAAAGAGGGTTCTAACGGCATCATCTAAAAACGTTTGAAAAAGTTAATTACATGAGTAGTGGAAGTGTTTTTTGCGATAGCTCATTTGCGTCAAAAACAACAAACGCTTCCATGACTCGTGGAAAATGTTTTTTTTTTCCAATATAGCATATGAGCATTAATGGCCTCATCTCAAGATTGACATGAAGCACAATCAATGGCTTACCATGATGCACCGTCTGTCTAGATGGATCGAACGTACCTTGCCATGTTGTACACTGTTCCTGCGGTATGATCATGATCATGTACGTTCCAACTGTCCTCCACAACATGGGTTACAAATCACTTTCCACAAGATTCTTAGTCCATGAATTGAGTATCTCGCTGAGTGCTTTTGTTGTTTACATGGAAGTCACCTATGGCTTGTTTAGAATAAAACTGTTCATACCCAATGCATATAGATTGGAGTAGAAATTAAATTGAATTACTCTCTCCAACCAAAATAAATTAACTTCTAGAGTTGTTCTGAGTTAAATCAAATTATTTTAAGTTTGCCTAAATTTGTAGGAAAAAGGCTTCAATGTTTATGACATGAAATTAGTATAACTAGTTACATCAAATTAGTATTTTGACAATCTACTAAATGTTGTTGTTGATCACTATAAAGTTGGTCAAACTCAACATAATTTAACTTATAGTGACTCTAGGAGTTTAATTACTTGGGATGGAGAGAGTATCATTTTATATCAAACTTTTGCTCCCAAATACTATACATATAAACTAGAGAGGATTATGCTCTATCCAATCAAAGATACTCCTAGTTGATAAGGAAAAATATAGATTTTTTGGGCTAAATGAAATATATTAACGTTGATGTGTGAGTTTGACAAACAAACTGTAGACATCTAACATAGTTGGTAAGGACATTATGTATTTTGTTTTCTCCTTAACAGAGAATATGGGTAATATAATCTTTTGCCGTCTTTTGAAAAAAAATGTATTGGTGTTGAAAAGTGAGTTTAGCAAACAAACTGTTGCATCATAAAACAGTTGATAAGAAAAGCTATGAATTATTATTAGTGTTGATGAGTGACTTTGACAAATACGGATTATTTCTTCACAATGGACAGAAATATTTCTTTACTTATATTTCTTCACAAGGATAAATATGGATTATTTTTTGGTTGGGGGGGGGGCAATATATATATGTACATTTTTAGAAAATGGATAGAAATATTTCCACTCAATAAAAATATCTAAAACATTGCCACGTTTCTTTTTCTTAAAAAAAAGAACGGTTCAGCAATGGCAGCATAGCCAGCTGCCATTTCAGCTTCTAGAGTGTCTCAAATGCATGTCTCTCGGATCTCAGCAGCTGAGCATGAGCTGAAGGTCTCATGTTAAGCTTGAACGTATCATTTCGGTTTATTAGTTATGATATAGTATTTTTCTCCGACAATAAAATAAAGCATCGATCAAACTTATCAGCCGTAAAAATAATTAGCGGAACAGCGAAGTCGGCCTTTATTTTTTTTTCACTCGTGGAATCCGCCCCCACTACCGCTGGGTATCCAGTGGGCCTGTTTTGGGCAGAACCCGAGCTGACACCGTCAGATCTTCATGGTAAGACTTGCTCGATAGTGGGCCAAATAGTTAGAAGAATCGTCGACTGCGGAAAATTCATCATAGCTAGTTGGGCCGCAAAGATTGGAGAGTTGCACTCTATTTCTCCATCTTTTTGCGCCTCGGCCCATATCTACCTCAAATCAGACCCACATAACCTCCACCGTCCCACTAGCCCTTGCTGGTCGCGGATGGCGTGCCTGTTTGCCAGTGTTTACGTGCGTGTTCTGACAACCTGACGGTGATGGATGGTGTTTCCGTGGTAGGGATGAAAACGGTACGAAAATATTCAAACCGAACCGCGTCCTTTTGACCCGATCGAATTCATATTTTGAATAAATTCGAATTCGATTCAAAATACGAAAAACCCAATTCAAAATCGGTTTAGACTTTCTCCGACCGATTTCTACTTTTAAATCGAAATATCCCGAATTCGAATTTAGTTTAATCCAAATTTAGCCCACTACAGTACATGGTTTAACCAAATTTGGCCCACTGGGATTTCCAATTTAGCCACAGCCCAGCCCAGTCTGGCATGGAACACAATGGATTGTTTGTGAGTGCATCTCATTATATAGATCATTGCCTCCCTCACTCCCAGCTGCGTAATCGAGGTGGGACTAAAGAAGTGTGCCTGGCTGCAGCTTGCTGGCTGGCTCTCTTGCTGCTGCGCTGCTCATTGGGCTAGCGCTATGCAGTGGGCCGCTGCTCGTTGGGCTGCCGACCTGCAGTGGGCTCTCGTGCAGTCGTGCTGCTCCGCTGCTCTTGGCCTGCCGTTGCTAGTTTGGCTGCTCGTTAGAAATATTGGCTTCTTCTTTTCTCGTTTCACAAAAAAAAGCTTTCGCTTTTGCCATTAATTAATATTTCGAGCAAAAATCTTGAATATACAAAGGAATATTTCTCCCTCCGTAATCACATGTACAATACTACAAAATCCCCATAGCAACGCGTGGGGCATTATCTAATCTTTATCGAGTATCATATATTTGTTATGCACTTGTCCTATGGATCAGTATTCCGTATTGATTTTTTCGTATACCGACCGTGTTCGACATAATTTCGCTTGATTTGGTTCGTTTTCGATATTCCGTAAGTTCACGTTCGTTTTCGTGTCCGACTTGACCGCTTTCGCTTTCGTTTTCGTATTCAAATGTAAAAGTAAAAAACGGTTGAGGAGTTTTTCGACCGTTTCCAACCGTTTTCATCCCTAGCTGCAGGTGGGCAACTTCATGCACTACATCAGCCGGTTCCTGGCCGGCTTCGCCATCGGCTTCTCGCAGGTGTGGCAGATCAGCCTGGTCACCCTCGCCATCGTCCCGCTCATCGCCATCGCCGGCGGCACCTACGCCTACGTCAGCATCGGCCTCATGGCCCGCGTCCGCAAGTCCTACGTCAAGGCCGGCGAGATCGCCGAGGAGGTCGACCGCCGCCTCAAATTCTCTAGATGTGTGCTTGTAATCGATCGCGGACGCGCGTACGTACTGACGCTGCCGTAGGTTCGTGCGCCCGCCCGCAGGTGATCGGCAACGTGCGGACGGTGCAGGCGTTCGTAGGCGAGGAGAAGGCCGTGAGGTCGTACCGGGAGGCGCTGCTGAGGACGTACAAGTACGGCAAGAGGGGCGGCCTCGCCAAGGGCCTCGGCCTCGGCTCCATGCACTCGGTGCTTTTCCTCTCCTGGGCCCTGCTCATCTGGTTCACTAGCGTCGTCGTCCACAAGCGGATTTCCAACGGCGGCGAGTCCTTCACCACCATGCTCAACGTCGTCATTGCTGGCCTGTGAGTGCACAGATTTTAAGTCCATGCCCTTCGTGCCCGGTCTACGTTGCCAAGCAATCAATTGGAAAAATTCTTATGCGCGTGGTGTGACTGGTAGGTCGCTCGGCCAGTCGGCGCCGAACATCTCGACGTTCCTGCGGGCGAGGACGGCGGCGTACCCCATCTTCCAGATGATCGAGAGGAGCACCGTGAACAAGGCGAGCTCCAAGGCCGGCCGCACGCTGCCGGCGGTTGACGGGCACATCCAGTTCTGCAACGTCCACTTCAGCTACCCGTCACGGCCGGACGTTGTCATCCTCGATAGGTTCAGCCTGGACTTCCCGGCCGGCAAGATCGTCGCTCTCGTCGGCGGGAGCGGGTCCGGCAAGAGCACCGTCGTCTCGCTCATCGAGCGCTTCTATGAGCCGCTGTCCGGCTCCATTCTGCTTGATGGGCACGACATCAAGGAGCTCGACGTCAAGTGGCTGCGCCGGCAGATCGGGCTGGTCAATCAGGAGCCGGCCCTGTTCGCGACGAGCATCCGGGAGAACATACTCTACGGCAAAGGCGACGCCACCATGGAGGAGATTAACCACGCGGCGAAGCTGTCAGAGGCTATCACATTCATCAACCATCTCCCTGATCGGTACGAAACGCAGGTCGGAGAGCGCGGGATACAGCTTTCCGGCGGCCAGAAGCAGCGCATCGCGATCTCGAGAGCGATACTGAAGAACCCGTCGATACTGCTCCTCGATGAGGCGACGAGCGCACTGGACGCCGAGTCCGAGAAGAGCGTGCAGGAGGCGCTGGACCGCGTCATGGTCGGCCGCACCACCGTGGTGATCGCGCACCGCTTGTCCACTATCCGGAACGCCGACACAATTGCAGTCGTCGACGGAGGCAGGATCGTCGAGACAGGCACGCACGAGCAGCTCATGGCGAACCCGTGCAGTGCCTACTCCTCGCTGATCCAACTCCAAGAGGCCGCCCAGCTTCAGCACAAGCCTTCTTTGTCTGACAGCACAAGCATTACCAGGCCACTAAGGTATCTTTATTCTCTACTGTGCATCGTAAAAGAAGGCCAAAATGTGTCATTATGATCTGATAAACTCAATTCGTTCGCTTGCAGTTTCAAGTATTCAAGGGAGTTGTCCGGGAGGACGAGCATGGGCGCCAGCTTCCGCTCCGACAAGGACTCAATCAGCAGGTACGGCGCCGGCGAGGCGCATGACGAAGTGCGCAAGGGGAAGCCCGTGTCCATGAAGAAGCTCTACTCCATGGTGCGCCCGGATTGGTTCTTCGGCGTGTCGGGCACCATCAGCGCGTTCGTGGCTGGCTCCCAGATGCCGCTCTTCGCGCTTGGCGTCACGCAGGCGCTGGTGTCCTACTACATGGGGTGGGAGACCACGAAGCTGGAGGTGCGCAAGATTGCCGTGCTCTTCTGCTGCGGCGCCGTGCTGACAGTCGTGTTCCACGTGATTGAGCACCTCAGCTTTGGCATCATGGGCGAGCGGCTCACCCTGCGGGTCCGGGAGAAGATGTTCTCAGCCATACTGCGGAACGAGATCGGCTGGTTCGATGACACCAGCAACACGAGCGCCATGCTGTCATCGCGGCTCGAGGCTGACGCAACGCTTGTGCGCACCATCGTCGTCGACCGCTCCACCATCTTGCTCCAGAACATCGGTATGATCGTGACATCGCTCATCATTGCCTTCATACTCAACTGGAGGATCACGCTGGTCGTACTCGCCACCTATCCCCTCATGGTCAGCGGCCACATCAGCGAGGTGCATACTAAACACAAGGTCTTCGCGTGCCTAATCGTCGTATCAGTGTCCAATCAACTAAGAATCCTGTATGATCTATGGAACAGAAAATGTTCATGAAAGGCTATGGCGGCAACCTCAGCAAGTCCTATCTGAAGGCCAACATGCTCGCCGCGGAGGCAGTGAGCAACATCCGGACGGTGGCTGCCTTCTGCTCGGAGGAGAAGGTGATAAAACTCTACGCGGACGAGCTGAAGGAGCCTTCTAAGAGGTCCTTCCGGCGAGGCCAGGGCGCCGGACTCTTTTACGGAGTGTCCCAGTTCTTCCTCTTCTCCTCTTACGCACTGGCGTTATGGTAAAGCGTTGTTATATATTGGATGGAACACAATGGATTTAGTTTTTGTACTCCATCCAGACGTAAAATGTTCCAAAATTCAGGTATGGTTCAGTGCTGATGAGCAAGGAATTGGCCAGCTTCAAGTCCGTGATGAAGTCCTTCATGGTGCTCATAGTGACGGCACTGGCCATGGGGGAGACACTAGCAATGGCTCCTGATATCATCAAAGGAACCAGATGGCGTCCTCGGTGTTCGAGATCCTGGACCGTAAGACGGACGTCCGGATCGACACAGGTGAGGACATCAAGAGGGTCGAGGGCTGATCGAGCTGCGCGGCGTCGAGTTCCGATACCCAGCTAGGCCCGACGTGACCGTGTTCAAGGGCCTTGACCTGCTGATGAAGGCCGGCAAGAGCATGGCACTTGTCGGAATGAGCGGCTCCGGCAAGAGCACCGTGCTGTCACTCATCCTCCGGTTCTACGACCCGATCGCCGGAAGAATCTTGATCGATGGTACGTCTTGTTCAACGATAATTTATAGCTCAATTTTTCCCCGGCAAAATCTTCTGCCAAGCCTAAGTGCGTTGATGCAATCTGCAGGGAAGGACGTCAAGAAGCTTAAGCTGAAGTCTCTGAGGAAACACATCGGCCTGGTCCAGCAAGAGCCAGCGCTCTTCGCGACGACGATCTACGACAACATCCTGTACGGCAAGGACGGGGCCACGGAGGCCGAGGTCGTCGAGGCGGCGAAGCTGGCGAACGCGCACTCGTTCATCAGCTCGCTGCCGGAGGGGTACAAGACCAAGGTCGGGGAGCGCGGCGTGCAGTTGTCGGGCGGGCAGAAGCAGCGCATCGCGATCGCGCGAGCCATCGTGAAGGACCCGGCTATCCTGCTACTGGACGAGGCGACGAGCGCTCTGGACGTGGAGTCGGAGCGCGTCGTGCAGCAGGCGCTGGACCGGGTGATGAAGAACCGGACCACCGTGATGGTGGCGCACCGGCTGTCGACGATCAAGAACGCCGACGTCATCTCGGTGCTGCAGGACGGCAAGGTTATCGAGCAGGGGGCGCACCAGCACCTGATCGAGAACAAGAACGGCGCCTACCACAAGCTCGTCAACTTGCAACAGCAGCAACAAATGCAGACGCAGCAGAGCTCATGAGACATTTTGAATAAAATCGTGCGTTTGTATCTTCCTGTGGCATTGTCTTTCTTGGGCTTTTGTAAAAGATCTGCGCTGGTAATCTTTTCAATGAAAGGGAGTGTTCAGAATTACAGGATAAAGCGTTATTGGATTGTTATTCCTTTGTACTAGATTATTACTTCTACAATTAAAAAGAAAGAAAGTAAGACCACAATTTCTTACGACAATCGTGGCTACGTCGGTCCGTCCTTCCCCTTGCGATACCGCCCCCGGCGCCTGGCGAGTGGCGAATGTCCTACCGCTTCGTAACCTTCCCCTTCGTCTCCCCCGCTCCCACAGCGAGCCGGAAATCCGCTGCACCTCGCAATCCCCGACCCCGCGCCGGCGCCGATCACGCCAGGATCAAGGCCCTCGCGCCCGATCCGCCACCGCGATGGCCTCCCCTCCCCAAACCCTAGGTAGGCACGGGTTTCCCACGGGTGGGAATCTGCGCGGCGGGAGGGATGGAAGCGCTGGTGGGGCGGGCGGCGCGAAAGGCGCCGGCTGAGAACCGGCCGCCCAGAACCTCTGCTGGCCACACGATTAAGGAGATGGGGAGGATCGTGGGGGCGTGGGGATGCTCACCGAGCAGCTAGAGGGAGCGGGGGAGGAGTGGAGGTGCCCTTCCCTCGCCGCGCGCTCTCCCACACACCCGCCTCCACCGCCTCTGCCCGAAGAAGCGCCTACGCCGTCTCCGCCCGGCCGCCGTCTCGGCGGCGGCGTCCACATCCTCCTCCGCGGACCCGAGCGCTCTGCTCCCATGGCTAGCTCGCGCAGGCGCTCTGGCTCCTCGAGTCCTTGGCGGAGCCGCCCAACGAGGACGCCTACGTCGCGCTGTTCCGCCTCTGTGAGTGGCGCCGCGCGGTGGAACCGGGGCTGCACGCGTGCGCACGTGGACAACGGCACGCTTGGTTCGGGCTCCGCCTCGGGAACGCCATGCTCAGCATGCTTGTCAAGGTTCGGGGAGACCTGGCACGCGTGGAGGGTGTTCGCCAAAATGCCCGAGCGGGATGTCTTCTCCTGGAACGTCATGGTGAGCGGGTACAAGAAGGCCGGGTTGCTGGAAGAGGCGCTGGACCTGTAGCACAGGATGATGTGGCCAGGTGTGAGGCCGGACATGTACACGTTCCCCTGCGTGCTGCGGAGCTATGGGGGCGTCCCAGACTGGAGGATGGGAGGGAGGTGCATGCGCATGTTCTTCCGTTTGGGTTTTTGTTGAGGAAGTCGATGTCAAATGTGAGTAAGAATCCGTGGCTCCCGCACTCTCTGTTCGGCGTGATGTTTGGGTGCAGCCGTTCGGATCCGAAGGTTTCCGATGTGCCTCTAGGCAATAGGCACACATCCTCTTAGGCAAGGTATTTTTCTCTTTTGATTTGAACATAAAAAATAAAATTAGAAATTATGTCGAACAAGACTATAAAAATAAAAGAAAAAAACATAGAGTAGCTAGAACTGGACGAAGAACTTTTAATTCCAAAAGAAGAATTAATACTTCAACAAAAAGGTTTTAAAAAATTTGAGATGCATCACTCAAACAGCTAAAACACACTTAGGAAACCCAACTGTGCAAACCTACCAAATTCTGCCAAGAAAAAAAAGCGGAACTGTTTGTCTAGAAATCATAGGAACAAGAGGATGGAATATTCCAAAATCTCTCCGTTTCCTCAAATCGACCAGACAGGAAAGAGGAGAATGCTGATGATGCGGTAATCTTCAGTAACCCAAGACGACAGGACATTACCTGCATCATTGAGATCTTGAATGCTTTTGGTGCAGCCACGGGATTACAGATAAACATGCAAAAGAGCATTGTGGCCCCGATCAGATGTGTGGGCCTAGATATGGAACAGATACTACAAGATTTCCCTGGACCAAGAGTGGCTTTTCCAATGCAATACTTAGGACTACCACTCACACTTGGAAGGTTAAGAATGGTGCACCTGCGGTACATCCAAGATAGAGCTAAAGGGAGGGTGGCTGGCTGGCAATGGCGCCTGCTAAATGTTGCTGGGCGCAGGGAGTTGGTGCGCTCTGTGCTTAGCTCCCTCTCGGTTTACCTGGTGACGGCTGTGAAGGTATCCAAAAATTTCTTGAAAGAACTGGACAAACTGCGTAGAAGGTTCTTGTGGGCTGGCGACAAGGAGCTAACTGAAGGGAAATGCAAGGTTGCATGAAAACAAAGTATGTACGCCAACAGGCAACGGTGGTCTAGGCATCATCGAACTTGAGAGGTTCAGTCGTGCACTGCGGCTTCGGTGGCTCTGGTTTTCGTGGGACGACACTGACAGACCCTGGAAATGAATGGAGCTGCCGGTTCACAATATTGACATTGCACTCTTCAATGCTGCTACAAGTGTGGTCTTAGGAAATGGGAATAAGGTTAAGTTCTGGTCCTCTCGCTGGCTACATGGTCAAGCACCTGCAACATTATACCCGGCCTTGTTCAGACATAGCAAGAGGAAAAACAGAACAGTTTGTGATGCCCTGGATGATGATAACTGGATCAGAGATGTCGACTATAGCATGACGGAGCGGGTCGTTGAGGAATTTATATTACTGTGGACTTGCTTACAAGAAATCTCTGTCCAGTCGGCAAATGAGGATAAGATCACCTGGCTCCACACAGCGAACGGCCAATACACGGCAAGATCGGCATATAGAATACAATTCCTTGGAATGGCCTCATCTATGACAGCTAAAATCACATGGAAAACAAAGGCGCCGCCAAAATGCCGATTCTTCACTTGGCTGATGCTGCAGAACCGCATTTGGACAGCTGCAAGGCTAATGCTTAGGCAATGGCCAAATGACTACTTCTGCCAACTCTGTGTAAGGAACCTGGAAACGGTCTCACATCTCTTTCAGGAATGCGGCTACTCGAGGAGTGTCTGGGACAAGGTGGGCTCCTGGGTCTCGGCGGCTGCTCTAAGGCCGACACACTGGACACAGACGGAAGATCTGGGGCAATGGTACGCTGACATGGCCAACAGTGGAACAAGAGATGCAAGAGACGGGGTACGCTCGATGATCATGCTGACAGTCTGGGAAATATGGAGGGAGAAGAACAATCGGGTGTTTCAAAGATCCTCGAGAACGCCGGAGCACGTCTTCAGAGCCATACAGGAGGAAGCAAGGACGTGGATACGGGCTGGAAATAGAGGACTAGAAGGACTGCTGCCTCCACTGGAACAGCCTCCTGTACATGCTATAAATCCTATGTAAGATACAACTCTAAAACGTAGGGGTGGCATGACTCTCACTGGGATGTGAAAGCCATGCAAATTGACCATTCTGGTACCAAACCTTTGTAAATAATATGCTCTTTTCTTATCAATGAAAGCCAGTAGCGGATCTTTCGAAAAAAAAGGAAAGAGGAGAAGTAACCCAAGTCCAATAGAAGACTACGGTGGTCTCCATTTTTCTTGTCCCCTCCCCTCTACCATCACAGCGATACGAGTGATATGAGAAATATTATATCCGTGACTCATGTGTCATTGACACCATATAAGATGTCATCCATAATAGAGGTAAATACGTAAATGCCCACTTTTTTGCCCCCTCTCCTCTAGCCTAGCTCGTTCCCCCCGCAAGCTCGCGACCTCGCCAAGCGGCCAAACCACGCTAGCTAGAGTTTGCAGTTGGAAGAGGGGAGGAGGAAGAGGACGAGATGGCGAGGGACGACGGGTTCCCGGTGTGGGAGGCGGCGCTGCTCGCGGGCGTGGCTGCCGTCTTCGCTGCGGGGCTGGCCGGCGTCTACGTCTCCATGCCTCGCTCCGACTACAGCTTCCTCAAGCTGCCCCGCAACCTCCAGGAGCTCCAAGTCCTCACGTAATCCAACCCTCTCCGTTCGTAGTTGCTCTAATTTGGTACCCCCAAGGCCCAAGCCAATTTTTCACTTTTGTTTTAATTTTAGAATTGTTTTGTTTTTGCTCTTTTTGTGATTTAAAGCTTAACAGATGGCCTAAATCCTACTTCGATCGTTCTAATTAACCCGTGATGTCTAGCAAGACAAACAGATATACGATGTTCAAGCTGTTCTTTGTTGGGTTGCATTGGTAGATTTGGCAGTGTACGCGTATCTTGTAGCAAAAGAAGGATCTGCTGTGCTCCTTGCCATGTTTGATATGGCCAATTTATATTATCTGCAATTCAATATAGGTAGAATGTGAATTTATAACATGGTTATCAAAATCCATGTCGGTTCATGCACTTTTCTGTGTTCCGTAGTTTCCGGAGTCGGTGGAGTTTGTAATCCTTTCTTTTCGATATTTGGTTTCTGACCAGCTGTAACTGTCGTATGTTTTGAACCTGTTCACAGCGCGTTTTGTGATGTGCCTTCCTGTTCAGTTTATTACTGTTAGCTCACAAAGCACGTTGTAATCTTGTGTACACACGTGAGCACATCTTCCTTGTCACAGATGCTGAAGTCGCTGATATTTGTAAGGTCAGGTCACCAGTAAATGTAGAGTACAGCAATGCAGCTTTGCTTCTTTTTTGTCAGTTCAGCAGTAAAGTTACGGTACAACTTTGTTTCATGATGAGTTATCATCTGGTAGTACAATTCAGTATTTGTTACTCAGTTTGACTTCAGAGTGTTGCCAACATGTTGCTGTAGGATTATATGTATGTTTCAGTTCCAATGTCTCTAACTGTGGAAAGTGGATCGCCTGCCTTGCAGTGTCCATCTGGAGGGCTACACCAGTGACTACACCATCCAGGTGCTGGTGGGCTACTGTGCCGTGTACATCTTCATGCAGACATTCATGATCCCAGCCTCCCAGGGACCATTTTCATGTCCCTGCTTGCCGGGGCCCTCTTTGGGCAGCTCGGCGGTCTAGCACTGGTGATCTTTGCTGCCACTGCCGGTGCTTCTTCGTGTTATTTCCTGTCCAAGCTGGTAGGGAAACCACTGGTCTTCTCGTTGTGGCCAGACAAGCTCACGTTCTTCCAAAAGCAGGTAACGGCAGGACGTGCATTGTTAGTTGACATGCTGTTATGATAATGCTCAAACATGGAATGATGCCTTATGCTCAATTTACTGCCAATGTGGCTGGGCTACTTCGTTGATTTGATGTTCTTATTGGAGTTTGTAGCTGCTTTATGTTTATATTAAGTCGGTGCTGAATTTACAATATCAATGCCCACAACTGAAAAGAGTAAACAATGCTCTTTAATTTCTCAGGTTGCAAAAAGAAGAGAGAAGCTGCTGAATTACATGCTTTTCCTGAGAGTCACCCCAACACTGCCCAATACTTTCATCAATTTTTCTTCACCTATTGCGGGTGTGCCATACCATACTTTCTTCTTGGCGACAGCCATTGGCCTCATCCCAGCTGCCTATGTGACTGTCAGGGTATTCCTGCTTCTACTGTACTCGTCGTTCCCTCAGGTGCACTCTTCGTGTACGCACTAATTGGTTGTCCTAACTTTTGCTTTGAGCGACCTGAGATCGTTGAATGACCTGTATGATACACAGTCGATAGCGGTGCTGTTCCTGATCGGGCTTGTTTCGGTGACGCCAACGTTGCTGGGCAAGAACGAGACGCCAAGCAGAGCACCAGACATGGCAGCTAGCACCAACTGATCACTTACACGCCACCCCAGCTCTCCTCTCCTGTATGTACATACAAAAGTCCAGCGTTTGGTGGTGGCTCCGAGACTCTGGATCAAATAGAACCGACCACGAACATGGCGAGGGCCCCCAGTCTGTCTCCACTTTTGTGCTGATTTCGTAGAAGGGATCGGATATCTCATGATCACCTCTCATCGTGAACCTTGCTGGCAAAACGGGCTGGGGACAGACCTCTTTTCGTTGCTGTGTTTTTACATTGTTTAGATGGAAGGTTTCACTGATTGTATGTATCTTGCACACGTTAACCAGATTCAATCGATACAGCCGATTCAGTGATTCATTCATGAATGTTTGCTGTGTTGCCGTATACTACCTGCGAAATGATTCTTCAGTTTAGTGCATCTTGCGCGTGGCGTGTGGTCTGTGGAGATTTTGCGTTTGTTTGGACGCGACACGGGATGCAAATGGCCCGTCATTCTCGATCTTGCTTTATTTATTTCATATATATGTGTGTGATCAGTGACCATTCATAGCTATTCAGAGGTGGCATTATCTGTATGTTGACGATAGTGCGTTGGTTGGTAACGCATATGTTCGCCCACCTCTTTGTTGGGACCTCTTGAGCCGTGCAATGGCCCTGGATCTCATGCCCGGCAAGGGGGTTTGGTGGCGCTCCGAAAGCCGCTGGCTGCTGACGAGGCATCCATGCTCCAATCCTAGCCACGAGCCAGCACAGCCAGTAGCCACAGGTATGCTGCGGATATATTTTCATCAAAAAAGGATGCTGCTGATACGATTCGTGAGGACCAAGGAAGCCCGATCACGACAGCTGAGCTAGCCGACACGTCAACGTGCAAACCGTGTGCACACAATCACACCTCACCCCAACGAAGGCCCAACAGAACACTTGGGTTTGTGAGAAGCAGGAGTTCGACTCGCCCCGGGCTCCACCAACCAGCCCAGTTATTTATTTTGGGTATCCATGGGCCGAAGCGAAAACACGACATGCAGCGCGAGCGGTCGCGCGACGGCGCAGCCTGTTTCGGCGTTTCCGGCCATGACCACGGCGGAAACGGGCAGGAATCGCGGCCAGTGTGGCCACGGACGATCCCACGCGACGGGTGGCCGCTTTCTCCTGCAGCGATTCCGTTGGAACGTGCAGTGCAGCGGCCGTCCGCCCGGTGCGCGCACGGCGCACGCCTCGCCTCCTGCTGTGTCCTGCACAACTGCACAAGCACGGCCGTCGGCCGCGCCGCACCTGCACGTCGGTGCGCGAGCTGTCTCCAGGCCAGGCGGCCACCTGCCGCTTCCTTGCGGGGAAGGTGATTCTTGTCCTGGGTTGCAGTTACAGGCTTACAGAATGTGACACAATCCTCGCGTCGCGTACGTATACTGTCATACTGATTGATGAGCAATGAGTCTTCACCGGCCGCTTGGCCTGCTGGGCTGCTGGCCAATCCTTTACTCTCACACGTGCGTACGCGATCCTCCTTGGCTTCACGGCTTTGTCGTCCATAGTAGCCAGCACCTGTCTCTGACTCTCTGTCCAGTGCTGATTTTCTGTCCATCTGCGTCGGCCGAGTAACAGCTGGAAGAACGTGATGCCCCCCGGGATTTCAGGTCACACCCAAAATACATGTCATATTTCTCAGTATTTATTACTAAGCAGCGGATAACTGGGCACGGAAGTGATCGAGGCATTTTAACAGCGTTCGGCAGATTATGTGGGTAAATGCATTGTTTTCTCCCCGAGATTGTCCACAGGGAGAGCGGTCATGGCTTCATGTGCATCTTCTTGGTGTCCTGGTCTAAAATCCGAAGATAACTCTAGAAAATATTGTTAAGAAATCTCATATCACAAAACTTCTCATGGAAGGACTATAGCAAGCTGGCAACAATTGAAAGGATGCAGTACCGCAATACTTAAGTGAAGAGTAAGGTGAACTAAATGCTGAAAGGAAGTGGAAGGACATGAATTAACATGAAAAAAACATATCTGCAAACAGCAGTTATAATGGGGAAAATTAAACGGACTCAGCAAAAGATCAGGAGGAAAGGATACTTCTTAAACTATCTCTGAACTTTGTTGGAGCTATAACAGATCCAGACCTTCGAATTGATTCATCAACATGTTCTTTAAGGGCACAGAAAGAACAGAACCCATCCTTATTATCTGCAGGTTAACAGCAGTTCAGATCATCCAGACTAAAATAAACCAGAATGTATAAAAACAATCGAACAATAATTAGTTGTATGAAATTATCCATGCATGAGCATGGAGTGAAATGATCAGTTGAGTGAAGCTTGAGAAAAAACGGTACAGTCTGAGTGATGATACACTGAAGAGTTGCATTTAGGAAGCATGTGTTCCCCATATTGCTAAGACCAGCTCCCTGCACATGGGAGAATTTCGCAACACGATAAAATTGTGATAAGTCCTTAAGGATGTCTATAAAGTATAGAACTTAGCACAGAAGATATTACATACCACAGATTTAGGTTGCCTACTATAAGAAACGGACAAAGGAAAATGCATATCTTCCGCATCACAAGTTTCACCAATCTATTGAACAAAGCCCAGCAATACAAATGACTTGATGTAAGGAAGGATCAAACATAAAATGTCAGATAAAATGTGATTAAGACAATAAAAAGGCTTACATTAGAGTTGCATTGCTTGCTGTCAAGGGGCAACACTTGCTGATTATCTTGGACACCCCATAAGTCTATTTCATCCTACAGCAGCACCCAAAAATAATGTTAAGGGACTTTTCAGAGACCTAAGCTAGCAGTAAATATCATAGGGCTGTGGTGGGGACGCTTACAAATTAATCAGGCTGCTCTGTGCCAAAGGGCTCTGGCTGCTCACTTGTTCCTCTATGTGGCACATCAACTCCATCCTACAATATAGGAATAAATTAAAACCCAAAAGGACAAGAACTAAGGATCTTCTAGGCACAGAACTCTATTAATGTTATATACAACAACAATGCTTTTTTTTGTCCCAAGCTAATCAGAGGCAATCTAGATATAAAAGTCAACAAAAGCCACCAACAAAGTGGGTAGAAAGGAAAGAAAGAAAATGGTATAGGTAGAAATAATAATAGTACAGGAAACTAATGTCATAGGTCAAGGTTCAGGCACATGGATTGCTATAGGAATGTCATGTATGGAATTATAATTGCAGATCAGCCGCATGTATCATGAATTGTGCATAGTCATTTAAGTTTCAAATTTAGCTTAACAGGCAGCCTTAATTAGTTAGTTGTGCTTCGTACTAGTGGCTGTGTCAGGATTGTGCACACTTTTCATTTTTTATAAAAGTATAAGAGAACAGAACAGGTATATACATGAAGTTCCTGAGATGATTTTTCAGATAAAAACTGGCAAGCTGAATGTTCTGTACCATTGATTGTTCCATTTTCATGACATCTTGCACCAAACTGACTTCCTTATTGATTGAATGTGGTGAACATGAATTATCTTCCCTTTCCAATGTACCAGATATGCCCTGAACAACAAATCCATGAACCAGTAAGCAAATATTACTATCAGAAGAGCCCAAACAAATTCACTAGAGTCATTCGGTTTTAAAATAAGGGCTGGGGGAAAGGACACACCTCAGGTTGAGGTTGCTCACTTCCAAGGGGAGCAGATGCAGCTAGGGTCTGTTCACCCGCAATTGAGTTCAAGCCACTCTATATCAGAGAACAGGTATACCCAAATGATTACAAGCTACAAATTTTCAAAAGATCCCATAAATCTTGAGACATGCCACGCGTGAGCCCTTTGCTTTGAACCCTACAACAACTGCTTCTTGATTCCGTGCACAGCTGTCATAGATCCACGTGTTTCCACTGAAAATAGACCCCGCCGGCACATGTCTTCCACACTCTCAGCCATGCTGGTCCGTCCCCTGCGATGTGTCATCTAGTTGGGGATGGTGATATTCAGAGTTCTTCGATGCGCAGCACAGACCGACTGGAGTTCATAGGCCAGGCAACCAGCAATACGGTTCAGGACATAAAACTTGCTGCCAAGAAACCCCATTGGCTTGACTCCAGACAACCTAACGGCTTATGAGTTTCATTGCCGTGTGCATGCATACATGTGAGGCGCAGGACTTTCATTTATTTATGCATATGCAGTGATGCCGGATTGCCGCCGGACGGCAAGCTGTACTGACCTTCCATTCAGGAGGTCGGAGAGAATAGAGATACGCGGACACAATAAATAGCTCAAGTACATTGACATCCACTGTCCCCA